GAATTCTTTGACTTTGTTATCCCAGAGCATGAAGGTAAAGAAGTTCAGGAAAGGGACCCTTGGGGCTGGTACTGTGACAGAGTGGGTTAAGCCTCTGCCAACAGCAGAAGCATCCCATAAGAGTGACGGCTTCAGTTCCAGCCACGCTGCTTCTGAGCCAGCTCCCTGCTAATGCACCTGAGCAGGCAGTGAAGATGGCCCAAGTCCTCAGGCCTCTGCCATCCATATGAGGGACTTGGATGGAGCTCCAGGCTCCTAGCTTTGGCCTGCCCTAGTGCCATTTGGGGCATGAGCGGATGGATGAAAGATCTCTCTCGCTCACTCTCTTGCTCTGGCTCTGTCACTTTCTCTCCCTTTCAAATAAACATTCTTTAAAAGGAGGCTTCCATGAAAATCAACAAGGAAACCTTCTTGTACCCAGCTGCCTGTGTCAGCCTGAGTTTCACACATCAGGACAAGCAGCTACTGCATCTGATCATAATGCAGGTGAAGTTGATTAGAGGCGGAGGGGCAGTGGAGATTACGTTGTCTTTATAGAGTCGATAATTGTGATTAAATAAGCAATAATACTGAAAGCATCCATTAAGAAAAGGACGAACTGAGTTGGGGGTTGTGGTATAGCAGGTTAAACTGCCACTTGGGATGCACCCATTCCATATCAGAGAGCCTGGGACTGAGTACCACCTCAGATTCTGATCAAGCTTCCGGCTAATGGACACCCTGGGAGGCAGCAGGTACTGGCTCAAGTACTTGGATTCCTGTCACCCACATGGGAGACCTGGATGGAATTCCAGGCTCCTGGCTTTGGTCTGACCCTGACTGTTGTGGGCATTTGGGGAGTGAACCAGTGAATGGAAGATCTTTCTCTGTCTCTCATTCTCTTTCTCTTTCGTTGCCATGCCTTTCAAATAAAGAAAATCATTAGAAAGAAATAAGAAACAGAGGAAGAAATGAAGGGGGAGGGGAGGAGGAGGGAATGAAGGAGAGAGGAGGGAAGGGAGAAGGGGGATGGGAGAGGGGAAAAGATGAACTATGAGCAAAGAGCTGGAGAGGTGAATCAGGAAGAAACCCATGGGAGATTTAGCAACTACCACTACCATTAGAATCACTGCATCTCCCATTAACCTCATCAAGCAAAGGAAGATGTTAAAAAAAGAGACATGATTTTTCAAAGCCAAGGAAGCACAAGAGACAGAAAGCAGTGGCCCTAGAATAATTCCACTACTCCATTCAATGCTAGCTCTTTTTCTTTGGAAAAGCCAGAGAGAAAAAGAGAATTGACGTTGCTCCACAGATCCCTAATCTCAAAGGGAATGGGGACAGATTCAGGATTATGCTCCCAGATTATGGAAGGAGCCTCATGCTATGGTCATTTAACAGAGTCAATATTATACATTCTTGATGAACAGAGTTATTAATGAATCTGGCATGAATCTGACTAGCAAGTTGGTTCACCAGACACCACAGTCATTTTGAGAGGCTGAATAATGGCCACTCAAAAGTGCCAGTACCCTAACTGCTGGAATATGCAAACATGTTGCTTATGTAGCAAAAGAGCTTTGCAGATGTGATTGAATTAAGGCACTTCTGGTGTGGCGGTTATATTGGATTATCCAGGTGTGTGGAACCCAACTGTACGGATTCACAGAAGTGGAGAAACTTTACCAGAAAGCTTCCTCTAAATTCAGGTAAAGGAGTGTGTGATGGCAGAGGCATGGTCAGAGAGGTTCAACGTTGCTTTCCTTGAAGATGGAGAAAGGGAGCCATGGGCCAAGGAATGTAGGCTACCCCTAGAAGCCAGAATAAGCAAGGAGGCTCCAGAAAGAAAGACCACCCTGAAAACACACACTGAGGCCCGTGTCAGCCTTCTGACCTGCAGTGTATCAGATGGTAATGCTGCATTGCTGAAGCCACCTGTTGTGTGGTAATTTGCTACAGAAGCAATAGAAAACGCAGACAGTCATAAAGGACCACAAACCTGAAGCCTGTAGTCCTGTGTTTCCATCCTCAAGACACCCTGCCGCCGGTTCAGTTTTTCCCAGCCTCCCCATCTGCCTGCCTGGCCCCGTTTGCCATGCTCTCCTTTCCGCATCACCCGCCATTTCTATCCTTAATGACCTAACTTCTTTGCTATCAGAAGTGCAGATCTGAAAGCTCAGTTCTAGGATCAGGTCCTGCACAAAGGTTACTTGGCCAACTTCTTAAATTCAGGGCTCATTCATGCTATCATCACTGTTTGATATCTACAATCACTTCCGTTTGTAGATGAGGGTGGGATTACGCTGGTGTCATCTGGGAAGGTTGAAGGTCTCGGAGAGGAAGGGCTGTGACTCAGCACTTCCTGGGAGGCCTGACCCTTGGAATGGGCCTTGCAGTATCCCATTCGTCTTTATTCCCAGGTATGTGTCTTTTCACAGCAATTGGAGGCAAGCCCTTTAGTGTGGCCGGGTCCTGAAAGGTGTATCAGGGACTCTGCCTCCAAGAGGTAGAGATTTCTCTTAAGCTTACTGTTTAGACACTTTGGATAACCCAGACAACAAGGTGTTGTGGTTTAGGGCCTCTCTTGTCTGCTCCCCAGATCCTGAAACCCTAGATCTACAAGGGCCACAAAAATCTCCAGATGAAAACAAGGTATCCAGCCCTAGCCACGTGTCCATTCTGCCGGCATTCTATCCTAGCTGGGAAACTGCTTTCTTGATTTTCATGATCTCATATTCCTACCCTTCCAGGAGGAAGGAAATGGCCAGGCGGAGGCCCTGATGCCAGGCCAGTGAGTGACGTGGTTGTATACAGTTCTCCACCCCTTGTTTCATTCAGATATTTTCTGAAATGTTAACTCCTCAGGAGAGAAAACCTCTCATTAGCCTAAAGAGCAACACCAGGGGCCAGCACTGTGGTGTAGCCATAAAGCCACTGCCTGCAGTGTTGGCATCGTAGATGGGTGCCGGTTTGGGTACCAGCTGCTCCACTTCCGATCAAGCTCTCTGCTATGGCCTGGGAAAGCAGTGAGGACGGCCCAAGTGGGAGACCCAGAGGAAGCTCCTGGCTCTTGGCTTTGAATTGGCACAGCTCTGGCCATTGCAGCCAATTGGAGAGTGAACCAGCAGATAGAAGACCCCCCCAACCTCCTCTCTGTAACTCTGACTTTAAAATAAATAATTTTTTTACAGGCAGAGTGGACAGTGAGAGAGAGAGACAGAGAGAGAGAGGTCTTCCTTTTGCCGTTGGTTCACCCTCCAATGGCTGCTGTGGCCGGCGCGCTGCGGCCAGCGCACCGCGCCTATCCAAAGGCAGGAGCCAGGAGCCAGGTGCTTCTCCTGGTCTCCCATGGGGTGCAGGGCCCAAGCACTTGGGCCATCCTCCACTGCACTCCTGGGCCACAGCAGAGAGCTGGCCTGGAAGAGGGGCAACCGGGACAGAATCCGGTGCCCCGACTGGGACTAGAACCCGGTGTGCCAGCGCCGCTAGGCGGAGGATTAGCCTATTGAGCTGCGGCACTGGCCAAATAATTTTTTTAAAAAAAGAAATAACAGTACTCTAAGTTTCACATTATTAAAAAAAAAAAAAGGCAACACCAGCATATCCATAGTCCCCAGAGGACTCCTTGCCTTTCTGTCATTCCCATGGAGGATGCTCTATGGGGTCTAAGTTTCATATCCGGTACAAGCTCAGCTCTAATCATCACCATGAAACCAAAGGCTTGGAGACATGGAGCAGAGAGAACCAAGGACACTGATCCTCAGGAGAGAAGAGGCAAAGCAGTGCCTTCTCCCTCTGGTGTCCTGAAGGATTCTGCTTAAATCTCCCAGCTCCACACCACTATTGCTGCCCCAGCCCTTACAGTGAGACAGAATATGCCTTGAATTAGGAGATCAGCACGAGGACTGAAAATGTTTAAACTGTAGAGTCAGCCGGCTGGCAGTGCACAAAACTGCCACCCCAGCCAGCTGCAAAGCAATAACCAAAGGCAACGAACTGCATGCTTCCCACCTTGTGTCACAGGCAGGGATCTCGGGGTGTGAACATCTAAACAGCAGCAGCTCCCCAGGAAGGCACTGCATAGAGCCTGAGGTGAGTGGCTTCAGTGTGTGTGTCTCGGGTATTCGTGGAGCCCAGGACTTATGTGTGTACTGGGCTTGCAGTCTGGCAGCACTGAACATGGATTTTAGAGCTGGGGCCAGAGAAAAGGCCAAGACAAATATGCAGTTTTACATTCAAATTCCTGACCATCGGTGTAGTAATACGTATGTTTTTTCTGCATTTGAAAAGTTTTCAACGATCCCTTTGGTGAACTGAAACTAAAAGGAGTTGCATGAAGCTGTAAAGATACACACACACACACACACACAGGCATTAAGGAAGTATAAATAAAGAACACTGGAGACTTACTGGCAGCAAGGACAGTAAGCGTCATGATAAATGGCAAGAATTACTTGTTGAGCACTAAGTCCCACATGTGTCCTAAATAGCCTGCCCATACCATCTTCACAGTACACTTAGGGGTTGAGTACTACCATTAACTTTATCTTGTGCCCAAGTAAACTGAGGCTCCCAGAAATTAAGTCACAGAAGGCAGCAGGGTGTTTTGGAGGTGGGGAGGGTCCTCAGAGACAGCCCAGAAAGATTTGCAGAGGCCTTCTAAGAGGCATCTTGGTGTAGCCTCTCTGGTCATGGCACAGACCAGAGCCCAGTACCAATGCACACGTGATAAACACTAATTCTCTTTTCATCTTGCCCATTCCCCCATCATTCCCTGTTTCCAACTGTCATGTTTTTGGTCTTCTTTAGTTCCGTTTATTTTTAGTTGTTGTTTCTTTCTTGTTTTCCTCCTAATTTTTGAGATTTGATACTGTGTTGCCTTTCATAACCACTTCCTCTCCGTTTTTCTCTCCCTTTATCAATAGCTTGCACCATCTCACATCTCTCCCTCAATCTGTCTGTCTATGACTTACATGTTCCCATTTTGTTCTCTGTTTATCACCAACTACGTACTTGCCTCTCTCTCCCTGTCCCATCTCTGTCCCTGTTTGATGGTCAACGGTTCTCTGTCTTTTCCTCTCCTGCTCTGTCTCTTGTTTCCTGTACCTGCAGGGACCCAGCCCTGGATCGTGGCAAATCTGAGCTACCCTTCTGAACTTGTCCTCTTGGGCTTCTCCTCCCTCGGTGAACTGTAGGTCCTTCTGTGTGGGCCCTATCTCCTTTCCTTCATGGGAAACTGTCGCTCCCCCTCTTTGTGGAGGAACGACACTAAACCCTGCCTAGGCTTCATATCCAAGTCACGGCACCATTATGTCGCTCCCAGTCTTCGTGGAGGAACGACACAGGACCCTGCGCTGTTCTTTCGTCTGCTCGGCCCTCCCCGGGTTTGCTGCTGGTTCTTCCCGGGTTTGCTGCTGGTTCTTCCCGGGTTGGCTACTGACCCTTCCACCTCCGTGGAAGGGTGGTTCCCCCTGCCACATTCCCCACTTCCGCGGGGGAGCGGCACACCGCCAGCCGGCTCTCTCGGGGGCTGCACAGGTGTTCCTCATAGATGTTCCTGGTGCATGTTGTCTCTCTCCTCCTTTATAGTCCTCTTCCACCAATCCCAACTCTGCTACCCACACGCCGAGTACGCTGCTCTCCTCCAATCAGGAGTAGGTCCTGCTGTTTATTGGTTGAACTGGAGGCAGCTGTGTAGAAGCTGTTTCTCCCTTCTCAGCGCCATATTGTGGGAGAGCAGATGCATAGAATAAGTCTTAATTCCAGTAACTTAGTCTAGTCCGAGTTGCTCCCCACAGGAAACACCATCATCATAGTCATGGTCATAGCTGACACCCACCTACACAAGCCCATATACTTCTTCCTGGGCAATTTTTCCTTGCTGGACGTCATAGTGACCATCATAGTGGTACCCTGGATGCTCTCAGACATGCTGGTCTCCAACAAAGCCACCTCCTTCACTGGCTGCAAGGTCGAGTTCCACTTCTACTTTTCCTTGAGTTCCACCTCCTTCTTCACCCTTGACCGCTTAGTGGCCATCTGCACTCACTTCGTTACAGCACTTTGATGAACTGGGCTGTGTGAGCTCAGCTGACGCGGGCTGCCTGGCCAACCCCTTTCCTAGCCATGGTCCTCACTGTTCTCTCGCGAGGATTTCTCAACTATTGCCATGGCCACATCATTAACCACTTCTGTGACAACACACCTCTGCTGCAGTTGTCCTGCTCAGACACTGCCTGCTGGAATTCTGGGACTTTCTGATGACCCTGGCTCCTTCCTGGTGCCCCTCATCTGTTGGGGCTACACATGACCGCTGTGCTGAGAATCCCCTCAGGCAGCAGCCCCCAGAAGGCTTTCTCCACATGTGCGTCTTAATTCACTCTGGTCTACATCAGCTACAGTGGCACTATCTCCCCATATGGCAGGCCTGGCAAGGCACACTCTGTGGATGTCAACAGGGTGGACACCTAGGTGATGGCCATCCTCGCCCCCTTCCTCAGTCCCTTCATCCTTACCTTCCACAATGAGGCGGTCAAGGTCGTGCTCCAGGGGTGGATGCAGAGACTGAAACGCCTTCACAAAGCACCAGGACCTGACCAGGCTTAGGCAGTTCTAGGAGGAGACAGTGTCCGGTGTGAGGGAGGACCACTGTTGAATGTATTGAGGATTTTTTCTCTGTGCCTCTGAGTGCTAATTGCAGTGAACCCTCAGTGCTATCCTGTCTGGCCCAAAACTGTGAAAGGCCACCATGGAAGTGCTCCCCATACCTCCTGGAAGCTGCAAGAACTCTGAAGGGAGCTCAGAACCTGAGGATCCAGCTGCAAGGATTCCCAGATATGGAAGAACATGGGCTCTGCACAGCACCACCATGCACGTATGTGTGTGTGCAGATGTGTGTGTCTTCAGGGTCTACTTCTCCACACGCACCCACTGCTCGGTGTGTGCACCATACATGTTTGGGACTACAGGGGACCAAGAGGAGGAACAGATATTACCAAAACAAAACAGTGGTTTTTAACATCTGTGGAGTTCGTGATGTTTCATGTGGTTACTCTCTCATTTCACCAGTACTGAGTGTACTTTATGCATTGGGCACTGTAACAAATGCAGGATAAAAAAGTAAAGAGGGCAGAGATGGTCCTTATCCTGCCATGTGACAGGAAGGAATAATAAAGAATATTCACCCACAGCAGGGAAAGGGCAACGGTGGATTCCCAGGAGTTTTATGAGCTCAGTTAGAACAGCATGGAGATTAGATGGGGGCCAAGGGTCACTTCAGAGGCCGCTGGGTAACACAATGGATGCAAGGCAGGCAGCCTGAGAATGCAATTCATCAGCTACTTCTAGGGGGGGAAATGGAAAAATGGACTTAAAATGAGGTAAGAACAAGTCATGCAGAGATTATGTGGGTACTAGGGAATAAACAATGACAGGGGTTTTTAAAAAGATAACTTGTCTCCTGCGTGATTAAACATTCGTTCGCCTGCAGGCTGGTCAGTGATAAACATAGTGAGCTCCTTTGTCCAATCACAATAGAAAATAGATTTTAACACACACACACACACACACACACACACACACACACACACGTCTGTATGAGTGTATAAAATCCCTGAAAACCCATTCTGTCCCATATTTCCTTTGGAACAAAACATCACTTTCACTGCCCTTCCCTCCCCCCACAGTCTGAAATTTTAACAATCTTCCAGTGACTCTGACCTCAGAATAATGGTGTTCTCTTTCTTTTATCTAGTATTTTCCAAAACAGTCCCAATTTATTCTGCCACATCATTCTGTAAATATACTCTAACTTATCAAACTACATTGCCCAATTTGCTGTATATAAACTACAAGAAAGACTGTATTTCTAGCCCCACTTATTTGAAAGCAAAAAAAATACCACCACTAATTTATTGCAAGTGTCAAGCTTTTATAAAATCGACCATGAGGAAGTAAACAGGATAAGTAATTGTGGCTCACTTGGTGGATGTGTGGCTCATTTAACAGCCCATTGCTTCTCATGATGGACATTCCAGGTCACCTCAGGCCAGGCCCTTCCTTTCACATGGTGTACTCCTCTCCCAGGCTTTCTGAGAGCCCACTGCATTCTTGCCAAGACGGCCCTCATTCAAGTCAGAAGCTAGCTCTTGCTTCCCAGTTGCAGTTTCTAGTCCAGGATTTTGCTAGTCCTTTAATTACTTGGAAGAGAAATGACTCTGTTGTTTTCTTGTTGCAACAACTGAGTTTTTTCTTTAATTATTCTTTGCTTGCCATCTCAAAAACAGAATTTGAAGAGTACATGAAGGGATGTTTGATACATTAATTCTGCTGAGGCGGGCATTTGTTGCAGCAGTTGAGACACTGCTGGAGACACCCATTCCATACTGCAGCCCCTGGACTCAAGTCCCAGCTCTCCTTCTGGCTCAACTAATTAGGTCTCTGCCACCCACTGGGAGACTTGGATTGAGTTTCAAGCTCCTGGCATCAGCCTACCCCATCCCCAGATGTTGGAGGATTTGGGAAATGAGTCAGTCAGTGGGAGATCTCTTCTCTCTGTGTATACTTCTTTCTTTATCTCTCTCTGCTTTTCAAATAAATAAATACAAATAAATAAAATTTTAGAAAGAATAATTCTATTCATAATACCTTCACACTTTCACACATACTTTACATCTGCCTTTACTCTCATAGTAATTCAATTATATGAATTCAATTCATCACCTATCAGGAGCAAAAAAACTCCTCTCAGCACTAGCCTTTAAAGGGAGAGAAAGGAACTGTATGACTAATTCCAACACATTTGGATAAGGGGTTTTCCTGACTGTGAGAGTGTTGAGAGCTTAGAAAGAAGATGCTGATTAATGGACTGTAGCCAAGTGGTATTTCTGACATATTTTAATGGGTATGGGAACCACAGCTGAAAGTAAAAATGAATTAGTAAAGAAATGGCAGAATAGGACCGGCGCTGTGGCTCAGCAGGTTGAAGCCCTGGCCTGATGTGCAGGCATCCCATATGGGTGCCAGTTCTAGTCTCTGCTGCTCCTCTTCCAATCCAGCTCTCTGCTACGGCCTACAAAAGCCTAGAAGATGGCCCAAGTCCTTGAGCCCCTGAACCCACGTGGGAGACCTGGAAGAATTTCCTGGCTCCTGGCCAGCGCCGTGGCTCACTAGGCTAATCCTCTGCCTGTGGCCCCGGTACTCCAGGTTCTAGTCCTGGTTGGGGCACTGGTTCTGTCCTGGTTGCCCTCTTCCAGTCCAGCTCTCTGTTGTGGCCCGGGAAGGCAGTGGAGGATGGCCCAAGTGCGTGGGCCCTGCACCTGCATGGGAGACCAGGAGGAAGCACCTGGCTCCTGGCTTTGGATCAGCGCAGCGCGCCGGCCGTAGCGACCATTTTGGGGGTGAACCAATGGAAGGAAGACCTCTCTCTGTCTCTCTCTCACTGTCTAACTCTGCCTGTCCAAAAAAAAAAAAAAAAAAGAAGAAGAAGAAGAAGAAGAAGAAGAAGAAGTTCCTGGCTCCTGCCTTTGGATTGGTGCAGCTCCAGCCATTGTGGCCATCTGGGGAGTGAACCAGCAGATGGAAGACCTCTCTCTATAACTCTTTCAAATAAATAAAATAAATCTTTAAAAAAAGAAATGGCACGATGACATTACAGTGGTTACTCAAACTTCTTTTCCATATCCCTATCCTGGGAACTTCCTTCTGGATCAAAAGTTGGATTGATTAAATGTTGGAATCTTGGGGCTGGCGCCATGGTGTAGCTGGTAAAGCCGCCACCTGCAGTGCCAGCATCCCATATGGGTGCTGGTTCAAGTCCTGGCTGCTTCTCTTCCTATCCAGCTCTCTGCTAAGGCCTGGGAAAGCAGTAGAAGATGGCCCAAGTCCTTGGGCCCCTGCACCCAAGTGGGAAACCCAGAGGAAGCTCCTGGTTCCTGGCTTTGGAGCAGCACAGTTCCAGCCATTGCGGGAGTGAAGCAGCGGACAGAAGACCTATCTCTCTCTCTTTCTCTCTCTCTCTCTCTCTCTCTGCCTCTCTAACTCTGCCTTTCAAATAAAAAATTAAATTAAATAAAAATAAATAAATAAAGTTGGAATTCCAGAATCGGAAGCCATTCTGCTTTGCCTCCTCTATCAGCATGTGTACATCAACTTCCTCTCAGGTTCATGATCTTCTAACAATGTTTCTCCTAACCCGTTCCTAACAGTAATTGCACATTTAGTTTCCAACACTTGAAAGAAACACAGTGACAGAAAGCAACTACAGGCTCAATGTCATTTTGTGAGACTTATGTTCTATTTATCACAATGGCATCCACAAATACTTCAAAGGTGCTAAATAATAAATATACCAAATATTTTTTATTTTGAATGTTTTAGTCAGTTCATGTACAATATTAATTGTGTAGTGATTCACACAGTCCCTTTGCCACCATACCACATTTCAAGAGAGATGACAATCATTGATCTGCTCTCTGTCTATGCGAGGTCACTCGTTGTAGTTGTCTAAAGACAGTGGCGTCACCACTCAGAAGTGGCTTACCCTGGAAGACAATTTCTGGGTGGTGGGAAGGCAGGGCTGTTTAGAACACTGAAAACTAACACTAGTGTAGGGAGAACAGGGGCAGGATCTCACAACCAAAATGCCTAACCTACTGCAATATTCCCGCCCACCCACACTCCCTGTGTCCGGCATTCCAGCCCCAGGGATTCAGGGAAGCAGAGGCCCAGCACCAGGACACAGAGTTCTAAAGGCGAACACAAGACCCCACTGCCACGTGCAAATCCCAGCGGAAGCCCAACCCCACATTTATCTCTTCAAGTGGGAAGGATCAGAGATGAAAACATTAAGAGTATGGATGTTATTTTTCAAGATCTATTTATTTATTCGAGAGGCAGACTTACAGAGAAAGGGAGAGACAGAGAGAGGTCTTCCAACCATGGGACAAAGGTTACTTAGCTTCCATGACAGTAAATCAGATTCCCTCTTCTAATGCTCCTCATGCTGTGATTCTGGGGTGAGGACTTTCTTACTCTCCCTAACTGAAAGTTCCAACAGCATACTGCCGGATCACTGCTGTTCAAATATTACTGTCCCTCGAATCACCCAGGAATCCTATGAAAGCACAGATTCTGACTCCAGGGGCCTGAGAGTCTGCATTTCTGACACACTCCCAGGAGATCAGAAACTGACTGGTCAGGGTCTCTTGCTCAGGACATACCATGAACAGCAGAGCTAGACTGCTATAGCCTGTAGATGATGTGCAGAGAGGGAGAGCGGAAGTCGTCCCCCAGGGGATCTGTGTGCTCTCGGGAGGGAAGGGAACAGCTCTGCATACCTGAAGGAGATAACCGCTCCCACTCAGTCCTCCAGTTTTTCACAAGGTTTGCAAGGAGGACCAGTAATTAGTCCCTGGAGGGCGGAGGAAAGTTCGCAGGATGAAAAACGGGTTTTAGCCAGATCTGAATGCCCCAAGGGTTGATTCTGAGGCCAGAGTGCTGTTTAGGGCATTTGCCATTCTATGAGTCTGCTGTGTGTCCCGCTTCCCCCGCAGGATCATTCTCTCCCTTTTAAGTCTATCCTTCATTATTTGCAGACACTGGTCTTATTTGTAAGATCTATTCGACACTCACCTTATCTTTTTGATCAATTATGTACTTAAACTTATCACTTTTAACAAGTGAGATGGCATCGGTACATGCCTCGTTTAAGACTGAATTGGGGCCGGCGCCGTGGCTCACTAGGCTAACCCTCCGCCTTGCGGCACCGGCACACCGGGTTCTAGTCCCGGTCAGGGCACCGGATTCTGTCCCGGTTGCCCCTCTTCCAGGCCAGCTCTCTGCTGTAGCCAGGGAGTGCAGTGGAGGATGGCTCAAGTCCTTGGGCCCTGCACCCCATGGGAGACCAGGATAAGTACCTGGCTCCTGCCATTGGATCAGCACGGTGCGCCGGCCACAGCGCACCGGCCGCGGCGGCCATTGGAGGGTGAACCAATGGCAAAGGAAGACCTTTCTCTCTGTCTCTCTCTCTCACTGTCCACTCTGCCTGTCAAAAAAAAAAAAAGACTGGATTGGAATCCTCTGGCACATTTCTTGCTCTACCATTTGAGGTGAGTCCGAGTGAGCATGTGCCGACCTGTATATCTCCTCCCTCTCTTATTCCCACTCTTATATTTAACAGAGATCCAAAGCCAAGACGCTGTGGCAAAAACAACCTGAATGAAAGATCTTGGTGAACAAGACCCCAGCAGAGAGAATGGGCCATCAAAGAAGGTGGCACCTTTCTCTTAAGGGAGGAAGGAACCTCCACTATGATATGGCCTTGACTAAACAAGTTCAGAGTTGGTGAACTCAAGGGGCTTCCATAGCCTGGACAGCTCATAGCAAGAGTCTCGGGTGATTACTGATGTTAAATAAGAGTGCCAATTGTTAAATCAACAACGGGAGTGACTGTGCACATGCTCCTCATGTAGGATCTCTGGCCTTTAGGTGTTTCACTATGAGAGTTAACGATAACACTACTAGTCGAACAGTACTCTATATCTTGTGTGGT